TTAAGTACACTCCAGGTCCCAAATTACAGCAATTTGATATGGGAGCCATGGTAAATTCTTCCTGGGATAAAGCAGAGTATGAATAAATAAAATATTTAATGTAGGACATAAGGTAAGAGACAGGGAGAAAAGATGTGTTTACTTGATTGTTCTTAGAGTAAGAAGAATAACAAGGTAGGAAGAAACTCTTCATTCTCGGCCTGCTCTTGGAACTGAATTACCCTGCCCACGTGGCCTCAAACAAAGGAGGGTATGAATAAATGCAGAAACATGATTGTTGTTTGTTTAAAAAACAAAAGAAGTTTCTCCCTCAAGAGCATTGTCTTCTTGCTGTCAGCAGTATTAGGCTATCCTTGTAGGAAGCAAGAGACAACTCTTCACCAACCTACGCCTGGAAAATGTCACAAAAAACCGCCACAATTCAGCATCGATTAGACTGTAGGTTACCTGCATCTCTTTTCTGAGTTGTCCCCATGGTTTCTTTCCTGAGTTCCTCGGAGCCAAACAACGTGTCCAAAGGCCCAGAGCAGACTCAGGGACAAACCTGGTTCCTTTGTTCCATCACTTAACAAGTCCTTCACTGGGCCCCTAATGTGTATTAGATATTTTGTTCCATCACCCATATCCAATGAGCAATCAACAACCATCCAGTAGAACTTGGCTGGAAAGCAAATAAAAGCAACTTTATCCTTCTTGGAAACAAGGAACAACACCAGTGTGTCAGGATGTCCTTTGGAGAGTGTCTATCACACTGTGGCTGGGCTCAGCCAGGAGGATGGCTCAGCATAAGTATTCCTCTGGTCTGGGTATTTCTCAACTCTGTACATCAATGACATGAAGGGCATTTCAAAGAAATAAATCTCTCAGAAGTAGAATGGGCATGAAGAGAGAGTAAAGAGGGGGTTTACCTCTGTTCCACACAAACATCAGCAGCTCTGCTTACTGATGGAGTGGCCTTTCCTCTCTCCTTTGGTGCTTTAATTTAGAATCATTGAGAAAGGAAGTTTGTTCTTGGAGGAAAAACAGGAGTAAACAAAGAGTTACGGGTCAAACCAGAGGCTGATGCTGCACCACTTCACATCCACAAGTCAACTTCTCTTCTTAAACTGACTGGCAGGGACATGAGCAGGAGAGTGAGCTATGATACCAAGGAGTGGTGTATCCACTGAGATGCTAATCACATAGTCAGCACTTTGAATCTACCAGCCATTCAGTGGAAGAAGGATGAGGTTGTGAACTGTAAAGATTTAAAGTACCCCCAAACCCAAAGGTTCTACCCTGTCCTATAATGGTCCATATGAGTTGGAATCTATTCTATAGCAGTGAGTTTTTTATTTTTTAAGTTATATTACGAGAGACAGTTCTTCAGCTTTTGGGAACCCAACATCTCCACCTGACTCCACACTGTATAGATAGATAGATAGATAGATAGATAGATAGATAGATAGATAGATAGACCTGATGGTATAATGGTTATACATTGGGCTGGAATCCACAAGGTTGGCAGTTCAAACCAGCCACACCCAGGAGAAAGGGCCTTTTACTTCTGTAAGAGTTAGTCTCAGAAACTCAAAGGGACTGTCATTCCATGTCCTATAGGGTCTCCATGAATTGGCATCTCCTCGATGTCACTGAGTTTGACTTGGCATATCTATCTATCCATCCCTAGGGCCTGGCACTTACAGGGGTACAGTGTTTGATGAATGGGTGAATTGGTGGGTGGGACAGACCTCTTGATCTTGGTCTTATTTCTTTGCTCTTGGGCCAAACTGTAAGCAGCCTGTGATAAAAGATTCCTTCACTCCCTTTCTGGCTTTGGTTTTGGTTGAGAACTCAGGACTCGGAAGAGGTTGGGGAGGAAATTAGGGGTTCTCTTTGCCCCATGTCAGAGGGCTTTAGAGCCTCAGAGGTGTAGCATTACGTGCCTCCCTTTTCTTTATCTCCTGAGGTCTGGCCGGTGTTAAAGGGTTTTTCTGAGGTTGGTGGCAATTTCTGAGGTAGGTGGCATTTGCCTTCTGTCAATCATTTTCCAGAGGGGACTCACAGGAAAATAAATATCTGAAAGTGAAATTTCTACTCGTTTTCTGTATTTTCATCCAACGCCGAGAACCGTCCAGTCACTCGCCCAAAGTTACACAGCGGACTTGGCTCTCCCCCACCTCCAGGTTTTTCCGTGGTTAGCTGTGCCCAGGTAGATGTAGGCGGTGGGGGCTCTTGGGACATTGGCAGGGGCCTCTACTCCCCCTTCTGTGGTCTAACATTTATTCAGCACCTACTGTGAGCCCGGGAGCCTGCGTGCTGGATCCCATGGTTAGAAAGATGCAAATTCACCGTCCTTGCCCACAACATGCTTCCTTCCCAGAGTTGCGCCCTCAAAGGCCCCGCCGAGGACCCGCCCCTTGGAGAGGAGGCCCCTGTGGCCCTCAGGGCCTCGGCAGGAGGTGGCACTCTGGGTCCAGGCCCCACCCCGACTAGGTAGGAGACCCAGTTGGGGCCTCTCCCGCCTACCGGTTTGCGGCTGCCGTCGCCACGGAACCGATCATGCCAGAGTCATCGTGGTGATTTCAAAAAGGCATTGTGATTTATGCAAAGAGCTCAGGCAATTACAGCCGGGAGTAGGAGCCAGTGGGGCGGTCGGTTGGGAATTAGGGGGCAGGGGTAGTGTGGAACCGGGAGGTGCCCTCTAGTTCCACCGCTCAGCCCGATGGCCTCGCTACACGCTCCCGAAAATCTTCTCTGGGAGATGGCTTCTGGGCTTGTACCGGTTCTGGCTGAGATGCCATACTTTGCCTCTGGAAATTCCTGGCTTTTAATCAAGAGCTCCACTCCTCACCCCATCTCATATCTATCTTCCGCTGGACTGGTGAACGCGGTGGTGACGGTGGAGGAGGACTGGGAGAGGAGTGGATTTCTGGAAAGGTCTTGGCGTCGTAGCCTTGTTTCCCGAACCTCACCCGTGTACCCTTCTCTTTGGCTGCGCGGCGTTTCGAGTGTGCGCTACAGCCTGGGTCGGGATGTCAGAGAAGTAAATGTTGACTTCTCTCCCCGTCATCTTCAAAAAGCCCCTCAAGTTTTCGGCTTTGTCCCTTCATTGGGACACTGTTCCTTCATTGAGTCCGAATCCGACAAATCAGGGTGTGTGTGTGGGGGTGTGTGTGTCGAAGGGTAACTTGAGAAATGGCCGTTTCTCCTTAGTGGACCCTGCGTCCCCGGTCGCCGCACCGGCAGTCCAGAGGACTACGGTTGGATGGTGGCGCTGCGCGGTTCAGGTCCTGGCGGAGCCCAAGCGCAAAGTTGCGGTCACGTGCTGGGGAGACGGGCGCGCGTCGCCAGCTAGCCCGCGGACACCGGCTGGGGCGCGGCTTCGCCTCGGTGTGAAGCCGGGAGTCTGGGGACGCCAGCTCTGCGGGGCGCGCACGGCCGGGGGGCGGACGGGCAACACCGCGGAGCGCCCCCGCCCGCGCCGCCGAGGACAGGGCTGGAGGAGCGACCCTGACCCCAGCAGGGCCCCGCCCCAGAGCAGACTGGCCCGCTCCGGGGGTGCCCAGAGAGCTGCGGTCCCAAGGCGTCCTCTCCCCCTGCGTGGCGCTAGGCGCCCGGCGCGCGCGAACGAGGAGCCCAGGGAGGTGGGCGGGGATGCTCGCAGCGTCCGTGGGCCCGGGAGCCGGAGCCGTCCCCGATGCGGGCGGGAGGCTCGGGTTCCCGCAGCTCGGGCGCCGACCACGGAGCCGCCCGAGTTTCGCCTGGCTCCGCACGAGCAGGTTCTGCTTTGGGAAGCGGGTAGCGCCCGGGCTGCCGGGCTCCTGCAGCCCCCCGCCCGCCCCCGGGCTCCTCGGAACTGCCTTTGCGGAGCTCGTCGCAACATGCTGCCGGACTCACCTCGGGCCAGATCCCCGTTCGACCCACAACCGGGGCGCGGGAGGGACCTGGAGCCAACTTTCCGGGCTGCGTCGGGCGCCGGCAGCCACACACAGCCGCACCGCCGCCCAGTTTGGTCCACGGGGCTGGCTCGCTGGAGAGAAGGGGGAAAGCATTTTGAGAAAGAGCCCTTCTCCCCCGCCCTGCCCTTCCCTACCCTCCCGCTGGCCAGAAACCCCAAGATTTCATTTTTATTACGCGAGCGGGCCGGTCCTCACCGTAGCGCACGCCCAGAGCCCGCCTGACTCCCTGATTCGCGCTGGGAGGCGCCGGCTCCGAAAGCGCCTGCATTTTCGCCGGGAGCCGCTGGGCGACTCATTAATATCATTAGCATTTACCCTCCCTCTTTCCATCCCCTCCCCGCACGCGGCTGACGTCAGGCCCCGCCAGGAGTTGGGGGAAAAGCTAAGTGGGCCAGGGACGCCCTATTCCCCTCCCCGCGGCTGCCTGTCAGAGCGCCTCTGGAGATATTACAGAGGACTCGCCTGCCGCTACAGGCACAAAGTCAGAGGGTAATGAACTTCGGGTACCCTTTGCCGCTGCGGCCGCGCTTCTCCTCGGAAGCCGGGACTTCGCCGCCTCTTTCCCCGCAAGACTCGTCGGCCATCTAGTGGTCCCGCCGCGCGCTCCGCTCTGGGTCCTGCGGAGCCCCCCCTCAGGCCTGGGACCGGCGTCGGGTGGCATCGTTCTCCCTCCGCAGCCGGCGCCCCGCCGAGCTCGGCGCGCACCCCGAAAGCCCATGAGAGGCAGAGACTGAAGCGCGAGAGACAAGGATGGGGCGGGCCAGAGATTTGGGCCCTTGCGCTCCGTAGGAAGATTCTTTCCGAGTCTCCATCTGTCCTTCCATCTCCCCCTCGTGCCGTCCTCCTCTACCCTCCCTCCGTTGGCCTGTCAGTCTCTCCGTCTGTCCCTGCGTCTCTAGCAACAACCCCCGAGCAGCTGCAGTTTTGCAAGAGCCGGGCCAAACTCCAGGATGCGCCCATTCCCACGGTGGGACGGATTCTGAACGCCCGCCCAGCACCGCAGCGCGCGACCTCGCTGCACTTGTCCGGCCCGGGAGCCGCGCAGCCTGGAGGGCGGCTGGAGAGCGGCGGCGCCGGGCGGCGAGGCGGGCCCGGCGAGCCGGGACGCGGGCGGCGCCCACCCACCGCTCCGCCCCGGAACCGCCAGCATGAGCAAGCCGGCCGGATCAACAAGTGGGTACCTCGCGGGCGCCACGGGCCCGGCGCGCAGCCCGAGCGGGAGACTGGGGAGGCGCTGCCCCCGGAGCTGGGCTCCGAGCCCCGGGAGGAAGGCGAGCCCGAGGGTGGACTTCAGCCCGGCTACTTGCAGGCCGCAGATCAGAGCGTTTCGTGGAGAGGGGAGAGCAATTTCGTTTCGTCGGAATTGCTCAGTTTCCCTCCACTTTCTGGTCCAGTCCGGCCCGGGGAGTTGCATCCCTAGCAGTCAGTGGGTTAGGCTGGCGGTCCGCTGCAGGGGTGAGGGTCCACTGGGGCGGGAACTGGGCCGCCGATGCAGGCTGCGGCGCGACTACGCACTCGCTCAAAACTGAGCTCCAGCGCGCCCAAGCAACTCTGCGCCAAGCGGATTTTGAATGGAATGCTTTGCACCCCGTTTCTGGCTCTTTCAAATAATCCTGCAAAGTGGGAAGGAGAAACCGTTTAAAAGTCACATTTTCTTTAATCCTAAACCCGCGGAGGTCATAACTGGGGAATTTAAAGTATGAAGAACTGCTCGAGCAAAGAGTGGACCAAATCCCTAATCCCGAATACTTTTCGAGAGGGAGCCTGGCGGCCGAAGCGGCAGCGCGCGGCCTGTTCTGGTCCTCCAGCCTCACTGTCTTCCAACTTCTTAGCTGGGAACCTCCCGTTCCCAGGGCCAACCCAAGCCCCCCTCCGGCCACTACCCCAGACGTGGGAGCGCGGGGTGTGGGTGTGGGCCAGGGCGTCAGCTTGAACCGGCCTGAGAAGCCCGAGAACTTGCAGGCCCCAGGCAGCGCGCGCGGCAGCCGGGGCCTTGGCCACAGGGCTCGTGTCTACCGGCCGTCGCAATTACCGCCTTCTGGCCTCCCGGGGTCGCCGACCCAGGGACCAGTCTTTCTCGGGCCGGTTGCAGTCGCTGTCCCTGCAGCACAGCGTTCTCCCGCCGCCCTTAGCTTGCCTCCCCCACAAAGCAAAACAAACCCCACCACGTCCTGATTGTCCCGGGTTATTGGAAAGTTGGAAGAGTCCGAGATACTTTTGAGGATTGATAAGAAATCCTGCCTACGTGAGATGCAAGGCTTCCCACGACGAATTTGGCTGCGTTTTCACTGGGTTGAGTGCTGCCATTTTACAGATTAGAGCAAAATGAAGTGAGAGACTGCAGGGCTAGGGCGGGAGGAGAGAGGGGACATGGACCGAGGGCGGCGTGCCTAGCGGAGCCTGGAGCCTCCTGTTAGCCTCTGGCCTATGCTGGTCTTGCGGCTCCAACCTCTGGGAAACCAGGGGAGGTGGCTTTTTGCTGCTGCCCCGGTTCCCAGGAGCGAGTGTCCCTACAAAGGGGTTCCCAAGGGAATCTTCCTGGCAGCGTTCTGAGTCTCTGCGGCAGCAGGCGACGCCCGCGGGTCTCGAAGGGCAGGCTCTGGGTTTGCTAGGGTAAGGGCAAGACTTTAGAAGTAAGCGGCCTCAGGTTCTTCCCTCCCCTTGGGGTGCAGAACCTCCGGGTAGGAGGGGCTTGAAGGTGAGGCCCGTGAGGCTAGAGAAGCAGCAGGCTTAAGGCTGGGCTCCCGGGGGTCGCCTCCCGCGCGACGTGGGCCGGCCCCGAGGCTCTTGGCCAGGACTATAAGGGAGAGGTGTGTCGGGCACGTTGGGGAAACTTTGGCGCTTTCGAACTTGCTGTTTAGTCTTGGGAGCCGCCAGCTCCGGCGGGGTCTCTCCCACCCGCGGCAGCAGCAAACAGGCCTTTGGGACCGTGGCGGCCCAGGAGTACGCGGGGCCCGGGCGGAGGAAGCGGGCGCTCAGCGGGCCGTGTCCCCTCCCCACTAGGCTTGGCGCGACTGCGAAACAGAGCCTGGTCACCCAAGAGCCCCGCCTGGGTGGTAACAAGACCCCAGCCAGTCACCCCTGCAGCCAGACTAACTTCTTTCAACAGTCTCTGATGGTAATTACAGTAATCGAAGCTGCCATATATCTTTAGGCAATTATGACACACAAAAAGCCCCCAGGGGACCCCCTGGCGAGGAGAGTTAAGAATGGTTTGCCGGCCTCTGGAAGCTCCCGCACGGCTCACCGCGGAGGTCGCTTGGCTGGTTACAGGAAGGGACCTTTGCAATAGGGTCAACTCGCTTGTCTCCTGACCCCAAGTCAACTTAACTTAACGTGGCCGGATGGCGGAGTCGGAGCATGGTGGCCCCTTTCTAATACGCCTGGTGGCCGTGGCCCCGAGGTCTGTGCCCGCTGAAGGGCCGATCTACGGCCACAGCAACTCCGGGGGCGACCGTCAAAGAGCCGCCCCAGGAATCCGTGGAGGGCGCCTCCATCCCCTGCTGACTGTGCCTCCACCCCGAGAGGTCCTGCAGAGGTGGATCCTTCGCCTCCAGCCCCAAAGAGAAGGCGGGAAAAGACTTCTCCCATCTCGACTTCTCCCTCTGCGTCATCAAAAGTGCCACAGAGAAGGAGGCGACAGCTGGGTGACAGTATGAGGGCTTCAAACTTGAACTCCAGCAAGGCTAGAGGGCGTGCTATGCAGAGGAAGATGGCCTCGAACTCTGGAACCTCTAACTTTGTGGCTTGCCGAGGCGGGGCGGGTCAGCGGCGCTCAGGTCCCAGCCGCGAGTTCCCTCTGGCGCAGGGACTGGCCGAGGGGGTGGGGGACCGGACCCGCCGGGCTCTCTCCAGTCCTCCCTCCCCACCCCCTCCGCGCCACC